AAAAATCAAGGAACAGCACTCACTCCACTTGTTTCCAAAATAATGTATACATTTGGAACAAGTTAAACGTATGTACAACAAATTCTCTACAGTCTAGAGATCATAGGCATATCATAAACACTATTTATATATAGTTCTCTTCTTGTCAAAAGTTCACTTAGGCCTATTCAATTACTTTAAAATTTCAGTTGACAAGCCAAACTTTCTTTCTCTATTACTATCGCCAAACTATCAAAGTATGGTTCACTTACTTTATCATCGAGTTACCATGGTTGTATCCTGTACTTCTAAAATTGTCTGCTCATTTTTCTCTTTGTATTTCTAAGAATCATCTGTCTATTTCTCAGTCCACTGAGGCTAGTTCAATTACTTTAAAACTCTCCTTGAAATAAACTATTCTTCTTATCTCTTTCAATACTGTTAGTCCTACTGTTAGGCCTTCCACTCCTACAATGATTATCTTTGCATTTAACTCTTCTTTTGCCTTATTCCTTCTTGTAACTTTACTTCTTGTCTGTCTGTCTATTTTCCCACTCATCTCACCCTATTTATGTTTACTTAATTTTTCTGCTCGCTGTATCGTCAACATCATTAAATTTCATGCGACAATCGATAATCTCGACATCAGTGAGCTACAAACACAACATATGACTCTTCCCAATTTATGTAACCAAACTTGTTAGAACAATTATTTTAAAATAATTGCTTCTAACTCTTGTTATGAAAAAACTAAACAATCATAAAATATTCACTCGCAAAATAAATTAATCAATAATATCTACACTAAAGTCTTTTATGTCATGACAGTCATGATATTCAAAAATATGCCGAATCAGTAGCAAATAAACTTGAATAACCCAAACACTTTCTCAAAATAGACTTTCCTCCATCAGGGGTAAATGTAACAGAATATTGATACAAGTTTGCTGGATTATTGGCTAATTTAGTCTTTTTGCAGTCAATAATTTGATTTTTAGTTATAGAATATTGTTCTAAGTCTGCTAGATTGTTTGGTAATTTATAGTTGTTTTGTGGTCAGTTTCATATAAAAGTACTTGTCTGTGTGTGTAGGAAGTCCATTCAAGTTCCATGTCGACACAATCAGCAGTGGCTTTGTGACAGCACACGGCTCTGGATTAACACATGGTATTGCTGGTGAGCCTTGCAATTTTACCATCTACACTAAAGGTGCAGGAGCAGGTAAGTCTTGTGGTGTTTCTTTTATTTCCTATTGTAATAGATCATCAGTATAGTGAATATTCAAGACAGACCACTGTTAATGTTTTATTAAACTGTAATATTTATATTTTAGTTTTTACAGAAAAAGCAGGAACTATTAACGAATGATTATTAGCCCGAAATATGGTTCTAATAAGTAAAATCTTTCAGGTCATCTGTTGCCATGGCAGATACTTTTGTAAATCTAAAAATAAATGTTCGTTAAACGAATCACTTAGAATATCTGTCTAAAGTTGTCATAGGTTGTGCAGTTTCTATGAAGCTCACATTTGTGTCAGTTTAAATTCCTTAAGGGACCTTCTGATGATGATTTTAACTGTATCTTGTAATTCTTTAAGATAATTGTTTTTGATTCTTGATATTCCTGTACGGACAAACGTTTTATTTTGGACTGAATATTCTACAACAGTTTAAAGGCCTACTAAAATTAAGAGTAGCTTACTTAAACCTCTTAGAATTGTTTATGGTTTTTGAGGTAACAATTAATTAAAAAGTTTTGTATATTCTAGGTGGTCTATCTGTAGCAGTTGAAGGGCCTTCTAAAGCTGAGATTAACTGTCACGATAATAAAGATGGCACTGTTGGTGTGTCATATGTACCAGCTGCACCAGGAGAGTACAAGGTTACTGTTAAGTTTGCAGACAAACACATCAAAGGAAGTCCATTCACTGCCAAAATTACTGGTAATATGTGGTTTTAGAGAAGAGACTGGGTGTATAATCTTCAAAAGATCTTGTACTTAAACATTACAAATAATTCTTTATTTTAAATAAACTCCTGAAGTAACTTTCTTTAGCAGTTTGTATATTCTAAAGCCTATGATAGTTGAATAATTATTGATTTTGATATCTGTTTCACTTCATAAGCTAATGAGTAGTTGTCTCCACTAGCAGAAGGTCAAAAGTTTATCATAGTTTCTAAGCTAGTAGGTCTCTACTAGCAGGGGTGAACATTTTACCATAGCTCATAAGATTGAGTGATAGTATCCGCTACCCAATAAGGGGGCAGAGCTTTGTCATAGTTTATAGACTAATGAGTGATGGCCCTTACTACTAAGTAAGTGGTCAGGACTTTGTCATAGTTTATAGGCTAATGAGTGATTTCCCTTACTACTAAGTAAGTGGTTAAGGCTTTGTCTTAGTTTATAAGCTAGTGATGGCCTTCAGTACTAAGTAAGTGGTCAGGGCTTTGTCTTAGGTTATAAGCTAGTGATGGCCTTCAGTACTAAGTAAGTAGTCAGAGCTTTGTCATAGTTTATAGGTTAGTGAGTGATGGCCTTCAGTACTAAATAAGAGGTCAGAGCTTTGTTACAGTTTATAGGTTAGTGAGTGATGGCCTTCAGTACTAATTAAGTGGTCAGGGCTTTGTCATAGTTTATAGGCTAGAGTGATGACCTCCCCTATTAAGGAAGTCTACAACTTGCATTTGAAGCCTAAATTTGTAAAGATTTTCTGTTGTATTTTTTAACCTCACACTTTCTTTGTGTTTATCTCAGGTGAAGGTCGTAAACGCAATCAAATCTCTGTTGGACACTCTAGTGAAGTTTCCTTGAAGGTTCAGGAGAAAGATGTGAAGAATCTGAATGCAAGTATTGTTGCACCATCTGGATTGGAGGAGCCATGCTTTGTAAAGAAACTTCCAAATGGCCATCTTGGTAATGATGACATTTAACAAAAGTACAGTTGTAATAATTATAGTGAGACAGCCACTGCTTCATGTCTATGAAGTGACTATTTTACTATGTTACTTCTAAGATAAGTGTGTGTTTATTTTCTAGTTCTTGTATTATTTTCTGTGCAACACAAGTCTTGTGCTGGTTTTCATAATGAAAATAGTTTTACTTTAATTTTAACTTTTTATCCTGTATGCTCATTTAATTGTTTTAACATTATGTGTATAATTATTTATGGATAGAGTAAGGTATGCTGTTGGAAAACTTGAAATTTCTCTTGAATTTTTTAAATTTAAGTATAGTTGTCATACTGAATACAACTTAACAGAGTGCTTAAAAGATGATTTTTTTTTATACATACAAAGCCACATGCTTCTGATGGTGACCTCCTTTAGAAAAAAGTTATAACTCATATTAATGACTGTATTTTACAGGTATTTCTTTCACTCCCCGAGAAGCTGGAAAACATGAGGTCCACGTGAAACGCCTTGGCAAACCCATTCAGGGAAGTCCATTTCCAATCAATGTCCTGGAAAAAGAAATTGGGGATGCGTCCAATGTTCGTGTCAGTGGTACTGCTCTAAAAGAAGGGAAGACTCATAAAGCTAATGAAATCAATATTGATACTAAAAATGCAGGTACAGCATTTATGTGAACATTTGTATTAATTCTCCTTCATAACCTTATTTTTATGAATTGTAAATTTATACACTTAACATTTATTGACATGAAGTTAAGAAGTGTTGGTCTCTCATCAAAGCTGAATGCTTTACAACAACAAAGGTCACTGTAAATCCTGTAGTAAAGTGGAAATTAAATTTTATTGATGAGCTCATCTTTCTAAAATCTTGAGTTAAATGAGTCACTCAGGAGTGAAGGGCTATGCAGTGATCTAATTATGATATTTCATCATATCTTGTAGCCCATTCAGGCTTACAATGTTTCGGATTTAATAGCATCGTGTAAATAACTGTTTATATTAAAGTAATGTTTGTATTGTTTTGAAACCCTATTGACCAGATGAGTGAGTTCTGGAGTGAACTGAAAGATAGTCAGTAAACAAAATAAACTGACTGAAATGTAATCATGGAAACTAAAATATGACACACATAGCGATCCTTATATTCTCAGGTTATCAGGACCTTAGTTTTAGAAAAAGAAAAAAAATCATAAAACAACCGTAACTGAACACAAAAACATCAAATCTAATGTATTGTACTTTATAACTGTATACCAATATTTCCTTTTATGTGTGGCTAACCTTCAGGTTATGGTGGATTGAGTTTCTCTGTGGAAGGACCAAGCAAGGCTGAGATCCAGTGTAAAGATAATGAAGATGGTTCTCTCAAAGTCAGTTACTGTCCACTTGAACCCGGATACTACATTATCAACCTCAAGTTTGCTGACCACCATGTGCCTGGTGAGTGAATTGTTCTCCTGATAGGTTTTTTTTAATATGGTAAATATTCACTGACAATATTTTTGCTTTTATGTTGTAAAAAACATGATATTTAATATCTGTATTTCTTGTAAACAAAAACAGAAAACAATTAGTAAATAAAAGCATGCAGTATAGAACTTGGTGAAGACTTTTTACATAAAATCTAATTGCCGTAGTAAATAAGAGGAAAAGTGGAATTCTGTAAACTATTTTAAAAAAAAATTAATGATAAAACTTGTTTAAATGGCAGAGGTTATTGTTCTGTTGGTAAATATTAAAATACTGAAGTAGGAATCTTTCAACTCTTTCCATGCACTAGTTTTGAAAGAAGGTTTTAATGTTCACAATAGTGAAGGTTTCAAAGTTGTATTAGTACATGGTTTTAAGCTATTTTAGAAAACTATTGTAAGAATTCTAGAAGAAACCAGAAATTTAAATGCAAAAAAAACAAAAACTAATGGTCTAAATATTTTGATCTCTTTGTTTAGGAAGTCCTTTTACAGTAAAGGTAACTGGTGAAGGTTCTAATATCCAACGTGAGCATATCAAGAAGCAAAGAGATGCGGTTCCTGTCACCGATGTTGGATCGGAGTGTAGACTGACTGTAAAGATGCCTGGTGAGCTAGAATACGATAAACATATATAACAAATTTATTAGTAGAACTATAATTTATTTTATCAACTTGTTCACTTAAGAGTTATTCTCAAATAAGGTATTGTTATACAAAGTTGTTTATGATTTTCATTCTAACCATTTTTATCCTTATGTTCCTTCAAGACACATGATTATAATCAGTTGCCATGTTACAACGGTTTAGTCTCCTAGCTTTCAAGTAACAATATTAATATTCTCTGTTCAGGTACAAGTGCTTTTGATATGGCTGCCAAGGTCACTTCTCCATCTGGTATAACTGAAGATGCAGAGATCTTAGACATGGATGACTTTCTTTATGCTGTCCACTTTGTCCCTAAAGAAGTTGGTGTCCACACTGTTAGTGTGCGTTACAAAGACATTCACATCCCTGGTTCACCCTTCCAGTTCACTGTTGGACCTCTACATGAGTTTGGTGCTCACAGAGTTCATGCTGGAGGAACTGGTTTAGAGCGAGGAATTGCAGGAGAAGCATGTAAGTTTAATCTCGGTCATTACTACCTGAAGACTTTTACTCGGTTAATTGTCACTTAAATGTTTTTGTCTAACCTCATGTTTTGTTTGTTGTTGTTGTTGTTTTTTGACATTTTATATAATTACTCAAGAATACTAGAATGAAGAGAAAGTAAATAAACATGCTGTTTTGTATGTAATGTTATATGAATAAAATCATGCTTGACACATGGTATAATGGTAGCTTTTTAGTGTAGTGCTTTTAGTACTTGGATAGCAATATCCTTACAGGTTACAAATCATATTTTTGTTTGAAAAGTGTATAAAATCTGTCTGTTGTAAAAGACGTTCCTGTAAGATTGTTTATTTTGACATTGTGATGTTCTACTAATAACCATGTATGAAGTTAATCAATATCCAATTTGAAATTTATCATTTCTAGGTGAGTTCAATGTATGGACGAGGGAAGCAGGTGCTGGAAGCCTTGCCATCTCAGTTGAAGGCCCATCTAAAGCAGAAATTGATTTCAAGGATCGAAAAGATGGATCTTGTTATGTTTCTTACAAAGTGCAGGATGCAGGTTAGTCACAAAAGCTATTATCTCTACAAATAACTCTTGAAATATATTAAACTGAGCTATCAGAATTTCAGTTCGAGCTAGTACATTTTTTGTGTCTACTTATTTTGAGCTAGTATGTTAACTTTTTTTTTTACATTCCTAGTTAATCTTTTGTATTTTACCCACATAATTTACAGTTTAACAACTCTAGTTAGATCTTCCCACTGTTTACAACAAATCTTCTGTTAAAATGTATTCAATTAGAGCATATGCTAGTCAAATAGAATTTATCCTGTTCATTTAAAGATTATTCTTTTCTTTGTCTCCAGTTGGAGTTATCTAGAATTTATTACTATTTTAATTATTTTACATAGGAATTATTTTCTTCTAATTTTGTTCACTTTAATTATACATAATTTTTATATCTATATACAACCATCCATTTGAGCAGCCTTCTACTTGAAAGCTAATAGTGATATTTGGGCATGACCTTTTTTTTTAAAGTTATAGTATAACTAAATCTTTTACCCTTTAGGTGAATACAGAGTGGGGGTCAAGTTCAATGAACAACACATCCCGGACAGCCCTTTTAAAGTTTACATGATGCCTCAATCAGGTGACACCAAGAAAATTGAGGTTGGTGCTATCCCAGAAGCTAACTTACAGGTCAACAAGCCTGTAGCATTTACCATCCAAATGAATGGGGCTAAAGGAATGCTTGATGGCAAAGTTATTTCTTCTTCTGGAGCAGAAGATGACTGCTTTGTAGCTCCTATTGATGATGGTAAAACAAACAATTGGGAATCTTTAGTTAATTTTATGTTTTATATGGTATAATTTGCTATTATATTAAATATTTTTCATTCTGCTATGTTTAATCATAATTTTTATTAAAGCATCAATTGTAACTATAACCTTTCATAGGAAAACTATTTAAAAGTGATAGTTTTGAATTAAGTCATCAGCTATCATCAGACCTTAAACATGCAGTCATTGTATAAATGAAAGTGTAAGAAAAGAGAAAAGTTAAAATTTTAAAAACAATTAGGAATGTTTTTTTATTAATAAAAGATTAAATTAGTCATTGAAAAGTAATAATTTGTCTGTCCATACCATCAAGACAACTTGAGTTTGATTATTAGCACAGAATGTAATAAGTACTGAACAAGAAGAGGAATACGATAGTGAAAATATAATCTTTTTCATGAAATTAAGATTTCCTACAAATTAATCTGTTGCCAGTAGTAAATACCTTTCTTATCCAGTTAACTTGAACCCCCCCCCCCTTTCCCCAGTGATTTGGCTATATATGTTTCAGGGCTGATATTGATTTGATTTTTAGGGGTTTATTCCCCACCGTAAAAAATATATATTACAATATTTAAACACACTATTTCTGCTATATCCAGTGCTGATGATGCCTTTCTCCTGTATGGGGGCTCATCAGGCCAGCTGGGATATGACAGACATGGTGATGGCTGAGATGCTATTTTTATTACAAAATTACACGAACCATGACTGAGGTTGTATTCTTTTAGTAAGGTTTTTCATATGGATTATTATTTTTATCTTTTTTATCAAATATCGAATCTTGTCTAAATTTTTAAAAATGTTTCATATATTGTTAAGATAATCAGTTTGAAAGAATTTTGTAAAACAAAGTTAAGACATCTGATTAAGTAAGATCAGCATTGTAAGTGTTGAATAATTTACTTCAGATCCTAGTTTTTACTTGGTGATCATCATCTCTTTTAGAAGTTACCTTTTTATGGCTTGTCCTCTTTGAGAACCTAATTTAAATGAATGAAATCGTTTTATACATTCCCAGTATCTCCAGATCAGAACTAAATCTGTATAACATTATAGTTTATTCTGTTGAATTATACTTGCTCAGTCTCTTCAGAATTCAATGGGAAACATGGGCAAACTTTTTGTTTATTATAAAGTACAACAGAGAGTACCTTTAGATTGAAATCTCCTCGTTCTTGGCAACAACTTGGTATTTTAGTACTGTAAAAATTTCTTTTTTTTATACTATTACTTGTTCATCAATCATTTGAAAAGATCTTATGAATGATAAAGTATATATTTTACATATAAAACAAATATTCAGAAGCTTGGACAGCAGCATTATTCCACTAGTATTTTTGTATTTGTAAAGGTCATCTTAGCTCTGTTTTGTTTTTACTGAACAATGAAATATTTATAGTTTGAACAAAATCTTCTTAATCTTTTGTGTAAAGATGATTAATTATATAAACCTTGGGGTAAAACTTGTCTTCTGTTAGGGTCAAGAAAGACTTGATTAGTATAACAAACAATAATATATTATCAAGCATAAACTAGGCTTATTTCACTTTAGACTTTGTCACACATTCTTATATGCTATCGTACTTCTTTAATTAACCGTTGAGACGTTATTTCTTTTTTGCTAAAATTACTAGTAGACTGTAACCTTTCACAGCTGTGTTACATCTTTATCAGAATTTAAAATATATTGTAAATTCAAAATACTTTTTCGTTGTAAGCTTTAGTTGATTATCAATACTTACTGTGATTTATTAACAAATTTGTACAGTTTTTACTCATTCATTGTACTTGTGCATGCTTGTTTTGTAAAATATGTACTTGATTAATTGAAAAAATCGTTTTGGTCTTAAACAGATCAGTGGGCTTTACGGTTTGTGCCCAAGGAGAATGGAATTCACCAGATCCATGTTAGACACAATGGAATGCACATCCCTCAGAGCCCTTTCCGTATTCGTATTGGTCAAGATGATGCTGATCCAGCTGCAGTCCATGCCGATGGAAATGGCTTGAAAGAATGTAAAACTGGTAATCACAACATTTTGAAACAATTTCTGTATTAAGTAAATCGTACATCATTAAATGTGAAACCTGCTTGTTTGCCTAGTGGAATGCATAGATCTAAAGTATGAGGTATATTAAAATAAATCTTTTGTTTAAGGGCTTTTCTAATAGGTCTCCTCAGAATTCACTATTCTGCATTCTAAATATTGAAATATGAAGACTGAGAATGGAGAAATTATTTATTTTCACTTTTCAGCTTAATAAAAATTGAACTTAAACTATGGTTTATGTAAAAAGCTACTTTGATAAGTTTATGTAGTGATATCTAACATGTTGAGAAACATTTCTTGAAATATACATGTCAGAATTTTAAACATTGGTGTAAAGACATTACACATTGTGATATCTGTAGTTTTTTTTTTTTACTGTGAGCCTATTTTGGTCTCACTATTAAAGATTCTTCCTAATAACTTCTTACAGGAACCAAGACTGACTTCATTGTTGATACTTGTAATGCCGGAGCTGGAACGTTAGCAGTTACCATTGATGGACCGTCTAAGGTGTCCATGGATTGTACTGAAGTGGAAGAAGGATACAAAGTACGGTATACTCCATTAGCTCCAGGAGACTACTATATTATCATCAAGTACAATGGTTACCATATAGTGGGTAGCCCTTTCAAAGTACACTGCACTGGTAAGACCCAAACAACATGCAGTAGATGTGATATTCAGCTCATGGTAGAAAAAAAAAATTAATGAAATGTTTGTCATTTAATATATTTATTTTAACGATTTTTGAATTACAAGACAGGCTAAAAGGGGATCAATCATTTTAGTAGTTCTATTATGATAAGTCAAGTCCTGTCCCCTGTAGGCCTACCTCATAAAGTCTTAAAATAAAATGTATGCTTTTATACACATACGCTTGTTTTCTATCTAAAGGAATGTAAATGTAATCTTCCTGTCAATTCTACAAAAACTTGTGGCATGAGAGTAGCTTGTTTTATCTTTTTTTTTTTTCCCACAAGTCTATATATATATATATATAAAAAAATTAACTGGCTCATATTCTTAAACTTGGTTGTGTGCAAATTTTATATTAGAATTAAGAATTCAACTAAAAATATATTTTATTATAAAATTGAAATTATCACTGTTAAAACTACCAGTT